CGGGTGTACACAGAGGAATGATAGCGGGTGTACACAGAGGAATGATAGCGGGTGTACATGAGAGGAATGATAGCGGGTCTATATAGAGGGATGATAGCGGGTGTACATAGAGGAATGATAGCGGGTCTATATAGAGGGATGATAGCGGGTGTACATAGAGGAATGATAGCGGGTCTATATAGAGTAATGATAGCGGGTGTACACAGAGGAATGATAGCGGGTCTATATAGAGGAATGATAGCGGGTGTACATAGAGGGGTGATAGCGGGTGTACATAGAAGGATGATAGCGGGTGTACATAGAGGAATGATAGCGGGTGTACATAGAGGAATGATAGGGGTCTATATAGAGGAATGATAGCAGGTGTACATAGAGGAATGATAGGGGGTGTACATAGAGGAATGATAGCGGGTCTATATAGAGGAAAATGATAGCAGGTGTACATAGAGGAATGATAGCGGGTGTACACAGAGGAATGATAGCGGGTGTACACAGAGGAATGATAGCGGGTGTACACAGAGGAATGATAGCTGGTGTACACAGAGGAATGATAGCGGGTGTACATAGAGGAATGATAGCGGGTGTACACAGAGGAATGATAGCGAGTGTACACAGAGGAATGATAGCGGGTGTACATAGAGGAATGATAGCGGGTGTACACAGAGGAATGATAGCGGGTGTACACAGAGAAATGATAGCGGGTGTACACAGAGAAATGATAGCGGGTGTACACAGAGGAATGATAGCTGGTGTACACAGAGGAATGATAGCGGGTGTACACAGAGGAATGATAGCGGGTGTACACAGAGGAATGATAGCGGGTGTACACAGAGGAATGATAGCGGGTGTACATAGAGGAATGATAGCGGTCTATATAGAGTAATGATAGCGGGTGTACACAGAGGAATGATAGCGGGTCTATATAGAGGAATGATAGCGGGTGTACACAGAGGAATGATAGCGGGTCTATATAGAGGAATGATAGCAGGTGTACATAGAGGGATGATAGCGGGTGTACACAGAGGAATGATAGCGGGTGTGCATAAAGGAATGATAGCGGGTGTATATAGAGGAATGATAGCGAGTCTATATAGAGGAATGATAGCGGGTGTACATAGAGGAATGATAGCGGGTGTACACAGAGGAATGATAGCGGGTGTACACAGAGGAATGATAGCGGGTGTACACAGAGGAATGATAGCGGGTGTACACAGAGGAATGATAGCGGGTGTACACAGAGGGATGATAGCGAGTGTACATAGAGGAATGATAGCGGGTGTACATAGAGGAATGATAGGGGTGTACATAGAGGGAATGATAGCGGGTGTACACAGAGGAATGATAGTGGGTGTACACAGGGGAATGATAGCGGGTGTACACAGAGGAATGATAGCGGGTGTACATAGAGGGATGATAGCGGGTGTACACAGAGGAATGATAGCGGGTGTACACAGAGGAATGATAGCGGGTGTACACAGAGGAATGATAGCGGGTGTACACAGGAATGATAGCGGGTGTACACAGAGGGATGATAGCGAGTGTACATAGAGGAATGACAGGGTCTATATAGAGGAATGATAGCGGGGTGTACATAGAGGGATGATAGCGGGTCTATATAGAGGAATGATAGCGGGTGTACATAGAGGGATGATAGCGGGTGTGCACAGAGGAATTATCGCAGGAGTGTGTGTCACACTGGGCGCAGGGTTCAGAAATGTGTGTCGCACAGTGCATAGGCTTCAGGAGTGTGTGTCACACTGGGCACAGGGTTCAGGAGTGTGTTGTTGCACAGGGCACAGGGCTCAGGAGTGTGTGTGTGTCACACAGGAAGCAGGGCTCAGGAGAGTATGTGTGTCGCATAGGGCGCAGGGCTCAGGAGTGTGTGTGTCACACAGGAAGCAGGGCTCAAGAGTGTGTGTGTCGCATAGGGCGCAGGGCTCAGGAGTGTGTGTATCGCACAGGGTGCAGGGCTCAGGAGTGTGTGTCACACAGGGTGCAGGGCTCAGGAGTGTGTGTTGCACAGGGGTGCAGGGCTCAGGAGTGTGTGTGTCACACAGGAAGCAGGGCTCAAGAGTGTGTGTGTCGCACAGGGCGCAGGGCTCAGGAGTGTGTGTCACACAGGAAGCAGGGCTCAAGAGTGTGTGTGTCGCATAGGGCGCAGGGCTCAGGAGTGTGTGTATCGCACAGGGTGCAGGGCTCAGGAGTGTGTGTCACACAGGGTGCAGGGCTCAGGAGTGTGTGTCACACAGGGTGCAGGGCTCAGGAGTGTGTGTTGCACAGGGTGCAGGGCTCAGGAGTGTGTGTCACACAGGGTGCAGGGCTCAGGAGTGTGTGTTGCACAGGGCGCAGGGCTCAGGAGTGTGTGTATCGCACAGGGTGCAGGGCTCAGGAGTGTGTGTCACACAGGGTGCAGGGCTCAGGAGTGTGTGTCACACAGGGTGGGTGCAGGGCTCAGGAGTGTGTGTTGCACAGGGTGCAGGGCTCAGGAGTGTGTGTCACATCCCCTCAGTACAGAGCTCACCTCCTAAATTCCTCTCCAAAACTCCTCCAGAATAAATTCCACCCCCAGTATAATGCACGCCACCCAAATATCCCTAAGTACAGAACTCTCCCTCAAAAAAATCTCTCCCCAGTACAGAGCCATCTCCCCCCTCCCCCCCCCAATCCTTCTCCTCTCCCAGTACAGAGGGGAGTCCACTGAGCAGAGAAAACTGTATTAGCTCAGGACGATCGGGATCGGCAGAAAAAGTCTATGGTCCTTGGGGTTGGATGGCCAGATGACTGGGGAAGAGTAGGGAATCTAAAGGACTGTTCAGTCTCACTTAGAAGCCAAAGCAATTAGTAGTAGTAGTGGTAGTAGTAGTGGTAGTAGTGGTAGTAGTAGTGGTGGTAGTAGTAGTAGTGCTAGTAGTGGTAGTAGTGGTAGTAGTAGTAGTAGTGGTAGTAGTAGTAGTGGTAGTAGTAGTAGTGCTAGTAGTGGTAGTAGTGGTAGTAGTAGTAGTAGTAGTGGTAGTAGTAGTAGTGGTAGTAGTAGTGGTAGTAGTAGTAGTGGTAGTAATGGTAGTAGTAGTAGTAGTAAGTAGTGGTAGTAGTAGTGGTAGTAGTAGTAGTGGTAGTAGTAGTAGTAGTAGTAGTAGTAGTAGTGGTAGTAGTTGTAGTGGTAGTAGTTGTTGTAGTAGTAGTGGTGGGTAGTAGTAGTGGTAGTGGTAGTATTGGTAGTAGTTGTAGTGGTAGTAGTTGTAGTAGTAGTGGTAGTAGTAGTAGTGGTAGTGGTAGTAGTGGTAGTGTAGTGGTAGGTAGTAGTGGTAGTAGTGGTAGTAGTTGTAGTGGTAGTAGTGGTAGTAGTGGTGTAGTAGTGAAGTAGTAGTGGTAGTAGTAGTAGTGGTGGTAGTAGTAGTGGGTGGAAGTAGTGTAGTAGTAGGTAGTAGTAGTAGAAGTTGTAGTAGTAGTGGTAGTAGTGGTAGTAGTGGTGGTGGTGGTAGTAGTGGGGTAGTTGTAGTAGTGGTAGTAGTAGTGGTAGTAGTGGTAGTGGTAGTAGTGGTAGTAGTAGTGGTAGTAGTGGTAGTAGTGGTGGTGGTGGTAGTAGTGGTAGTTGTAGTAGTGGTAGCAGTAGTGGTAGTAGTGGTAGTGGTAGTAGTGGTAGTAGTGGTAGTAGTAGTGGTAGTAGTAGTAGTGGTAGTGGTAGTAGTGGTAGTAGTGGTCGTAGTAGTTGTAGTAGTAGTAGTAGTGGTAGTAGTGGTAGTAGTAGTGGTAGTAATTGTAGTAGTTGTAGTAGTAGTAGTATTAGTGGTAGTAGTGGTAGTAGTGGTAGTAGTTGTAGTAGTTGTAGTAGTAGTAGTAGTGGTAGTAGTGGTAGTAGTTGTAGTAGTTGTAGTGGTGGTGTAGTGGTAGTAGTGGTGGTAGTAGGGGTGGGTAGTAGTAGTAGTAGTAGTGGGTAGTAGTTGTAGTAGTAATAGTTGTAGTAGTAGTGGTAGTCTAGTAGTGGTAGTAGTAATAGTGGTAGTAGTGGTTAGTGGTAGTAGTGGTAGTAATGGTTAGTAGTAGTGGTAGTAGTGGTAGTAGTGGTAGTAGTAGTAGTAGTAGTGGTAGTAGTGGTGGTAGTAGTTGTAGTAGTAGTAGTAGTGGTAGTAGTAGTGTAGTAGTGGGAGTAGTGGTAGTAGTGGTAGTATTGGGGTAGTAATGGTAGTAGTTGTAGTGGTAGTAGTAGTAGTGGTAGTAGTAGTAGTAGTAGTAGTGGTAGTAGTAGTAGTACTAGTGGTAGTAGTGGTAGTAGTAGTAGTACTAGTGGTAGTAGTAGTAGTAGTAGTAGTAGTGGTAGTAGTGGTAGTAGTGATAGTAGTTCAGAGTTGTCAGTATATACGAGAGACGTTCAAGTCTAAGTTGATCTTTTAATTTAACTTTTAATCCTAATGACTGAGGGTGGTGCTACACGCAGTAGTAAGTAGCAAATGGGTCCTATCATTGATAGGTGTTTAAAAAAGGAATTCCTGATAAACTGCCCCCATCCCGATATGACTGGATAAATTAAGCCCCCCCCCCCGTACCAGTGGGACTTTAAAAGGCCCCCCCCCCCCCTACCATCATATATACATTAAATGTGTAAACTCTTTATTTGTCACAATGTCTTTAATATTGCAGCACAACACACCATTGTTGTCAGACAGCCACATTTGTACCTTTTACCATTACAGGACGTTATACACAGAGTAACCTCTTGGCTCCGACGTCACACAAATATGTGGCCTCACAGAACTGGGCTTTTTTCCGTGGGGCCCCATATTTGTGTACCTGTCTTTCCCAGCACAAAGACCACGGTGTCACTGAGAGCACCGGGTCCCGTTCTAACGATCGGGACCTGGGACTCCAGATTTCGGGTCACATGATCTCTGTGATAGCCTCTGATTGGCTATCACAATGATCAGTCACTGCGTAGCCTGGCCCCTTGTTTTTTTTCTCTCTCTCTATGAATGGAGGAGAGAGATACATTGTATCATTATATACATCCATTATACATTGTATACATTGTGTATCGCTCTCCCCGGACCCCGCATTCCCTATAGCCGCTCTCGCTCTCCCGGACCCCGCATTCACTATATCCGCTCTCCCCGGACCCCACATTCACTATATCTGCTCTCCCGGACGACCCACATTCACTATATCCGCTCTCCCCGGACCCCGCATTCACTATATCGCTCTCCCCGGACCCCGCATTCACTATATCCGCTCTCTCCCCGGACCCCGCAATCGCTATATCGCTCTCCCCGGATCCCCCGCATTCCCTATATCCGCTCTCCCAGACCCCGCATTCCCTATATCCGCTCTCCCCGGACCCCGCATTCCCTATATCCGCTCTCCCCGGACCCCGCATTCACTATATCTGCTCTCCCCGGACCCCGCATTCCCTATATCCGCTCTCCCCGGACCCCGCATTCACTATATCCACTCTCCCCGGACCCGCATTCACTATATCCGCTCTCCCCGGACCCCGCATTCACTATATCTGGTCTTCCACAGTACACGGAACATATAAATGCAATTATTTTAGTGAATATAAACTGCTAAATCCCTTTTCTCATCAGCAGTATAGAGCAGTCTTGTGACTTCTATCAGTGTCCAGTAGAGCACTGGTTAAAGCTTGTAGGAGGAGTTATCATTTTCCTCTGACTGTCCTATGAGGCTGCATAACCCCCGATCCTCTGTCTGGACAGAGCTGATTGGACCTGTGCTGATCACATGCACTATCCCACTCCAAAGGAAAAATTCTCTAGCAGTACACACTAAACTGAGCATGTCCAGAGTGTCCCCGAGGCTGTGTTCTCTCAGGAGATGAAATGGTTAACGCGGAAAAAGGGGAGGATCAAAGAAGACAGGATTAAACATTCTTTTTACACAATGCAGAGGATTAACCCCTTATGTGAGTATAACAAGCGTACCTTCCTGCATATAAAGGCTGATATTACTGTTGGGGGTTTAGTCACTTACAGGTTTGGTGATGAGGTTTCCTGTTTTGGGGCCCCTCCAGTACCACCTGATCACCTGACGATAGCTACGAGCTCCGGAAATGAGCGCACTCTCACCGAAGTCCATTGCAAACACTCCAACTTTATTGCGGAAACATCAGAATATATAAATCTGTCATCTCTGGGCAGATTTTTAACGACCAACTTTAATATCAACCAATCAAAAACCGTAAATGCATTTTATCTGTAGTATTGCACATTGATTGTCACTAAACTTTGCGGAACCATCGTCCAGCCATACGGTTGTGGTCTGACTTACCCAATGGTTTGGCCCAACGCCCAGACTGTGATTACTGTCTTACCGAAAGTTACTTCCTCATAAAACTTGCAAACACAGTTATTTTCCTGTAAAGCTTACATACACACTTTTCTCTTAGCGTGTACAAAAGTCATATATCAAACATCTTGTATCACAAAATGGAGATGATTATGTTATCATGTTATCCTTTCAGTGACACTATAAGGTGGGGAGATGCTGATCTCTCTTTCAAGTATTGTACTTACTCACTAATGACCTACTAACTGCTAAAACCAACGGCCATTACTCCATACTCATCCCAACCAACGGCCATTACTCCGTACTCATCCCAACCAACGGCCATTACTCCGTACTCATCCCAACCAACGGTCATTACTCCGTACTCATCCCAACCAACGGCCATTACTCCATACTCATCCCAACCAACGGTCATTACTCCATACTCATCCCAACCAACGGCCATTACTCCATACTCATCCCAACCAACGGCCATTACTCCATACTCATCCCAACCAACGGCCATTACTCCATACTCATCCCAACCAACGGCCATTACTCCATACTCATCCCAACCAACGGCCATTACTCCATACTCATCCCAACCAACAGCCACTTACTCCGTACTCATCCCAACCAACGGCCATTACTCCATACTCATCCCAACCAACAGCCATTACTCCGTACTCATCCCAACCAACGGTCATTACTCCGTACTCATCCCAACCAACGGCCATTACTCCATACTCATCCCAACCAACGGCCATTACTCCATACTCATCCCAACCAACGGACGTTACTCCATACTCATCCCCCAACCAACGGCCGTTACTCCATACTCATCCCAACCAACGTTCATTACTTCATACTCACCCCAACCAACGGCCATTACTCCATACTCATCCCAACCAACGGCCATTACTCTATACTCACCCCAACCAACGGCCATTACTCCATACTCATTCCAACCAACGGACATTACTCCATACTCATCCCAACCAACGGCCATTACTCCATACTCATCCCAACCAACGGCCATTACTCCATACTCATCCCAACCAAGGGCCATTACGCCATACTCATCCCAACCAACGGCCATTACTCCATACTCATCCCAACCAACGGCCATTACGCCATACTCATCCCAACCAACGGACATTACTCCATACTCATCCCAACCAACGGCCATTACTCCATACTCATCCCAACCAACGGCCATTACTCCATACTCATCCCAACCAACGGCCATTACTCCATACTCATCCCAACCAACGGCCATTACTCCATACTCATTCCAACCAACGGACATTACTCCATACTCATCCCAACCAACGGCCATTACTCCATACTCATCCCAACCAACGGTCATTACTCCATACTCATCCCAACCAAGGGCCATTATGCCATACTCACCCCAACCAACGGCCATTACTCCATACTCACCCCAACCAACGGCCATTACTCCATACTCACCCCAACCAACGGCCATTACTCCATACTGATCCCAACCAACGGCCATTACTCCATACTCATCCCAACCAACGGCCATTATTCCATACTCATCCCAACCAACGGCCATTACTCCATACTCATCCCAACCAACGGCCATTACTCCATACTCATCCCAACCAACGGCCATTACTCCATACTCACCCCAACCAACGGCCATTACTCCATACTCACCCCAACCAACGGCCATTACTCCATACTCATCCCAACCAACGGCCATTACTCCATACTCATACTCCTTGACCTTTCCACTGCCTTTGACACAGTCGACCACCCGCTCCTCCTCAGTAAACTCCACTCCATCGGCCTCCGTGACTCTGCTCTCTCCTGGTTCTCCTCTTACCTTTCTCAGCTCACTTTCAGTGTCACATACAACTCCTCCTACTCCTCCACTTCCCCTTTCTGTTGGGGTACCCCAAGGTTCTGTTCTTGGGCCCCTCCTTTTCTCTCTCTATACCTCCTCCCTGGGCCAACTGATAACCTTCCAATACCACCTCTATGCTGATGACACCCAGATCTATCTCTCCACTCCCCAGCTCACCCCCTCAATCTCCTCACGTATCACAAATCTACTAAGTGACATATCAGCATGGATGTCACAGCACTACCTTAAACTCAATCTTTCAAAAACTGAGCTGTAATATTACCTCCTCCCGATCCCGATCCCCCACTCATGACTTTACCATTAAGATCAACAGCACAACCATTGGTCCTTCCCCTCATGCCAGGGTGCTAGGTGTAGTCCTAGACTCTGACCTCTCCTCTGGGCCCCACATCCAATCACAGGCTAAATCCTGCCGCCTAAACCTCCAGAACATTTCCAAAATCCGCCCCTTCCTGACCAATGAGACCACAAAACAACTCATCCACGCCTTGGTTATATCCCGCCTCGATTGCTGCAACTCCCTCCTCACTGGTCTACTGTTACACAGGCTATCCCCCCTTCAGTCTATTATAAATGCTGCTGCTAGACTCCATCTTACCAACTGATCAGCGACTGCTGCTAGACTCATCCACCTTACCAACCGATCAGCGACTGCTGCTAGACTCATCCACCTTACCAACCGATCAGCGACTGCTGCCCGTCTCTGCCAATCCCTCCACTGGCTTCCACTATCCCAACGCATACAATTCAAAATACTAACCACAGCTTACAAAGCCATCCACAACACTGCCCCTAGCTACATCGCCAACCCAAGGGCGGACTGACAACTCATGGGGCCCCGGGCAATAGGGGATCATGGGGCCCCTGTGTCCTTGCCCAAACTCAAAAAAAGCCTATGAAAAAGGTACCAGGGGCATCTCATGGGGCCTCCTACTGACCCCCGGCCCTAGGGCAGTGCCCGAGTTTCCAAATGGTCAGTCCGCCCCTGCGCCAACCTCATCCACAGATATCGCCAAATCACCCACTCCGCTCCTCCCATGATATCCTCCTCTCTAGCTCCCTCATCACATCCTCCCACGCTCGCCTCCAGGACTTCTCCAGAGCCTCTCCCATCCTCTGGAACTCCTTACCACAGCACGTCCGGTCACCCCCACCATTAGGCGATCTTTGAAAACTCACTTCTTCAGGGAAGCCTACCCCACCTCCATCTAAGAACTGTACTTGAATCACCTCCACCAGATCATCCCCCGCAGCGATCACCTTTTGTATCCCCTCCCCTTCCTTTAGATTGTAAGCTCCATGAGCCGGGCCCTCCTATTCCTTCTGTACTGAACTGTATTGTAATTGTACCGCCCCCCCTTATATTGTAAAGCGCTGAGCAAACTGTTGGCGCCATATAAATCCCGTATAATAATAATACTCATGTAATGAAAGCACCACAGACATTTCTAAACCAAGAAATCACCAAACTCGTGGCAAGGGAGGGTACACATTTGATTCCTAATTTTCTAAAATGTGAAATTTTTCCATTACTATGCTTTTCAGTCTACTTGAACCACTTGTCTACCAAAAGTACATTTATAAAGGGCATGGAAGACAAGTGGTTAAATCATGAACACATAGCTGCTGGTGTGATCTTGGTGGCGGATTCAAGAGCCAGCGAAGGGCTCTCTGGTGGCAAAAGGAGGACCTACCTAATATTAAGTGGGTAGTCAGAGTGTTATGGCTTATCGGTGTGAAATCCCAGATTCAGGTTTCATTCAGGAAAGATAATATATTGGAAATGAAAGACTGTTCCATTTGTTCTCTCTCTAGTTGGACTTTCTACAACCTCAATTACCAAGACCTGCGCGACCAGCTGCACTCCAACCAGCGGAAGTGCCATCGTGGCTTCAGGCTCCGTGTCCTGCTGCTCCAGTGACCTGTGCAACGCCAGCGAACGCATCAGCATCAAGGCCAGCTATGCCGCCATTATCCTGGCAATGGGAACCATTGTGATGTTCATCAGTAGCTCAATTCTCTGATATATGATGTGAGATCACAAATTGTCCAACCTGCAGCAATAAATGGTTTTGTAATGGGAAAGCCTTGAATTGTCTGCCTGTTTCTTGCAATGTCTATAGTGGTGGAGGGCAGAGACCTCCACAGGATGCCTGTCTGGCGTTACATGGCGCCTTGTGCAAAAATACCAATGATGCCATTTCTTAGTTTCTTGTACTTTT